TATATATATATTAAGTTGGTTGGTTTGAATACTTAGTTTTGCCACTGAATTGATTTCTATTGCATTACGGGTTCTTCCCTAAAGTCGATATTCTGTCAACTGTCAACATAACTTGTATACTTTTCTTTATATGTATCCATATGATTTTCAAAGAATAATATTTAGCATTACATTGCCAGCATATCGTGGTTATCAGCTTATCAAAAGAAGTTGATTATGGCCATTTTGAGGACATGATGCTATTCATTGACACGGGAGTGACCAAGAGATATTTTTTGCGACAATTGCCACAACACTGCTACAGCACCACGTACTCCCACGAGCCTTTTTTTCATGGATTTCCCTCCTATTAGGAGCGTGGTCCATTCCTATTTAACCTAAATTTATTTTTTTTTGTGTTAGAAAATAGTTTTTGGCTTATATTTCTGTTAGGATAGCCGTTGGTATCCGTTTTCCCCCCGTCAAGGGCTGTATCCAAAGGATTACGTGGTGCTTTGGCTATATCTGGTATTTATCTTCTCTACTCCCACTTTCATATCCTCCCTACACTACTCCCTACCACCATTCCTTGCTGCAGCCGCTCGAAACAGCTGCCGACGCTGCTTTTCCTGCAGTTTCTGTATTCCAGACAAATTCTTTGCGATTCCAGCATTCCCGCTTGTTGCCATCGCTGTCCCAATGACCTCCCTTCACAGTCCTTGCTGTACTTTTTCTGAATCAGCCACCAAGCCCTCCACCATCGCTGTCGTAGCCGCAACATCTCCCTTTTTTATGTTTTTCCAGCAGTCCACCCTCTCCAATCAACAAACTGCCACTATTTGGATTACCGTCCCTTGCAGCTTTGCTGTTCCAGCAGCCCATTATCCCTCCCGGTCTTCATCCACAGCCCGACTCCACCTCTCCAAGTCCCCTAAACGGCGCCACCATCACCCAGGTTCTGTCTTAACGTGAGTTTGCGTGTCTTGTGTTTTGTATTTTCTTGTTCAAGTGTTTTTTGATTGTAATCACCTATTTGCTTTCAGTAATAATATTTGTCTTTTCTATTGTGGTTTGTGTTAACTTTGGTATCATTTGGTATCAGAACTAGCTCAATCCTAATCCCATCCTAGGGTTTCTAGAACCGCACTTACTATTACTTTACCTTATCTCCACCTAAAGGTTTTCTCATCCAACATCACTTTTACACACCTCCTTTCACCCGCCGACACCCAAAACCTAGCCATGCCGCCAAAGAGATAATCATAGGAAGCCTGATCGGGGGAAAATAATATGATCTCGTTTATGAGAAATTCACAAAGAGGTGTCCAAGGGATTTAGGGAGGATGTGCAGTGGAAAACCCGTTAACTATAATCGAGGCTTACCACCTTCTAGGGGAAGCAATTCAGATGGGTCACCGATAACCACAATGATGACTTGCTAGATTAAAGAAAGGGAGTGAATCTCTTACACCATGCAGATGCTCGGGATGAAATAACTCTACCTTGAAGATATGACCTGAAATATCTGCGCGCATGAATTTTGAAATAAAGATGAATTTGCCATATTTTGACGGCCACATGGATTCGGACGAGTGGCCCTGGACCATGGAATGAGTCTTTGAGTGTCAGGATGTCTTGATCGAAGATGAAATGAGAGAGACAACGCTGTTTTCTACTTGTTCACAACAGACCGGATGTTTAGACCCCAACTTCAAAGGTGGGAGACCACACACTGTAAGTCCATCACATCTTACAAGTAGGGTTTAACCTTAGGATTTTACAGTCATAGTACACCCAGGGAAACATCCAAGTTGACCCCACGTGAGGAGACACTAGTTCAAGGGGGAAAAAAGGGACTAACCAGCATGCCAAAATCTGTCCCTGTCAAGAAGTGTTTTAAGTGCCACAGATTTTGACATATTAAATCAAATTGCACTATCAGAAGAATGATTTCTTTAACAGATCAGGGAGAAGTTTAAGAAATAAACAGTGATCTAGGAGAAGATGAAGATTTCAAAGATGATTCTCAGCTTCCAGCTGATGAGGAAGAAAAGCCAGGGATTCTAACTGAAGGAGAGAGACTCCAGTTGAGTTAACAATAACTGTTCTAGAAGGTAGCGAGTTCAACTTATGTGTTTACATATCTGTTGACCTCCTTTTTGTGAGGTCTTTTCTTCTTCTCCTTAGGAGCCTAGGATCTAGCTTTAGGAGTTCCTATTGACCATCTTAAAAAGCTAGAATTGAGACCCACCTTTTTAGAAATGAAATTCTAGTCAATTCTTATTTTCTTTTGATGTCTAACATTTTTGGCACAAGATCATCGTCTTATGAACGAGCGGTTATGGGCTATTTTGCGAAAATTCAAGAGAAAAGTTCCTAATAAGACTTCAAGCCTTAGGAAAACATCGTCACGACTTTTTCGTCACATTCACACACCAAATGCACAAAATTCACTGAGTTGCACGAAATCGGACATCAATTAAGCCTAAAGGACGGGTGAAAATGCGAACTTCTCCGGATGACCTCCGACGACAAATTGGACTGCGCCCGCATCCGGGATACCAATTTTGGCAAAGATCGATCGCGGGTCGAAATTTTGTGAAATTTGAATTTTGACGCATTTTTTACCCGATCGTCGACGACGTCGTCCGAGCGACCCCGTATGACAAAACAGACTGCTCTGGCGCGTCCGGAATGTCGATATTACCTAAGGAAGACACCCATTTTGTTACGGCACCGCGCACGAATAAATTGCATGAAATTTAATATATATATAAACGATCGAATCTCCTCTGTTTCCTTTTAAAGCCCTAAATCACGAAATCCAGGGCTCACGCGCCTCGCCTCCCTCTCTCGTTCGCGAGTCCCGCCCATTCCTCTCGGTTGTGTGCCCTAGCCGAGCCCGATTCTTCTCGTGCAGCTTCCCCGGGGTCCCCTCGGGGTTACTCCCTCCGACGCGCTCCGGCTTTCCCCTCCCACGCCTCTGCGATCCTCGTCGTCTTCTCCCGCGCGATTTGTCGCTTCTCTTGGCTCGGCTCACCGCCCCGGTAAGTGATGGGAAACACATCTCCTCTTCCCTGACTATATAAACCCCACTTGGGGAGGAGTTCTAGGGTTGGCCGAAAATTTTTGGAGAGTGGGGGATGTTTTGCCGAAATATTGAATGATTCTCATCT